GTTATTTTAAGCAATAAACTTGTTCGTACGTTGCAGGTAGTGTCGGCCGCCAAAAAAATCAAATTCAATGGAATTGACCTTAAGCTTGAGGAGAAGTTGGATCGTATGTTCAGTGGGGTTGTTGCAACGGACACTCATGAGTTTACCCCAAGTGAGCATGGGTTTGTAAGCATATTAGAGGAATTGTGGACTGAGCAATAGAGTGGGTCTGGTGAAGGCCCCATCCTAAACCAAAAAGAGTTGGATTCCATATGCTGGTCAAAACGTCCTAATGTGGAGAAAAGTAAAAAAGGAGCTGTGTTCGTCAGAAGCCAAATAATAAAACTGGTGGATGCATGCATAATTCATGTTGATACTTCACATGACACCTTCATAGATGACTTTCTCAGAGTTCTGGAGATATCCCAAAGTTTATGGGGATAAGCCATTGTATTTGAACTCTTTGAAGTTATTGGAGGACCCAAACCCCAGATAGATATTCATGAAGATGTCGTAGGGTTGTCTATTTACATTTTTTTATTGACAACTTGGACAATTGATTTTGTGGAGATTGTTTAGTAGCTTTGTTTTTTTTTTTTCTTTTTTTTGTGAAATATCTAATTTGAATGTTTTTCTTTCTAGCACGAACAATCTATATGTTGCTCTATATTTAGTTCTTTTCATTATACTCTATCTTTAAATTTTAGATGTTCTCTTAACGTCACCTGATTCACACATATAAGCTGAACATAACACTTCCTTAGCATGGACTCATAAAGAGAGAGCATGAGAAGAAAGATTACGACGATTATATGTTTGTTGTATGAATACACAACTCATACATCGATCAAACTCCATGCAAGACATCCACTTTTATGGGGGATAAAAGTGTGTTGGGGAGCTACTACAAGGACATCCCACACGATTCAGTAGCATGTGCCCTATGACACAACCTATATTTATGTATCTGCTTGACAAAATACATAGCTATCATGGACTACAAGGCTACTTAAAGATGACAAGTGAAGTGTTAGCAATAACCCTCTACATTCTATCACATAATAAATCAATGAGAAGAGAGATGAAGAGATTCCAACATTCATCGAAGACAATTAACAAATATTTCTTAATGAGTTTGAAAGATCTTGTTAGTTTGTCGGCACAGATTCTTATGCTAGATAATCTAACATTCTGGTCGACTCCAACAAAAATTGCAAATGACCAGTGGTATATGTCATTTTTTAAGGTAAATCTTTTTAACACATCACAATTAGAAGTCAAAATGAGTTTCGTGCTTATCACAACTTTATTTAATCTTGTCAGAATTGCATTGAAGCGATTGATGGATCCCACATGTATGCACGTGTATCCAATAAAAAAAAGAACACATACATTGGACGATGTGAATCACCCACACAAAATATAATGCCCGTATGTGACTTTAATATGTTTTACTTTTGTGATGACTGGTTGAAAAGACAGTGCACATGATAGCTGTATTTTTGTTTTTGTGACAAAGAACCAAAGACACAGCTTGCCTCACTCACCCCCAGGTTTGTTAAGCTATCAACCATAGTCATTTTTTTCTTTAAGGTTTTTTACTAATTATTGTATTTAGGACAACTAAATATTACTTGGTCGATGCTGGATATCCCCTACAGAGGGGTATCTGAAGTCATTTCCTGATACGAATATCATATTCCTAATTTCGAAAGATCCAGTGGTGTTGCTTGAGGCTTGAAGGAAATGTGTAACAAAATGCACTCCTCAGCACGCAGTGTAATTGAAAGAATAGTTAGGGTGAGGAAAAAGAAATAGATCATACTGCATGATATGTCGGTGTATCCATGTTTGAAATAAGTGCATATTGTTGTGACGATGACCACTTACAGCTCTCGCCAAAGCTTTTGAATATCACACATGAAAATCTATACCTCTGCTGGAAGTGGAAGCACAGTAAGGTTACACCCAGAATAACAAAGGTGTCACAAAAATGATTGAATTGATAGAGCGGATTACATATGACATCATTGGATGTTCATTGGAAGACTATTGTTTATTTTATAAAATTTAAGTTTATTTTATGTCACTAGTGTTATTGATATTTTTGATTTTATAATTTTCACGGTGTTTGTCATTGTTTTTTTTATTTGCGTTTCATTTATTTTTTTTTTGTGTGGGTTTGAGAGGTCCATCATGAGACATTTGACCTTGTGGGTTCTTTTGGATGACCTGTTAGTCATTGTTGGTTAGTTTCACATGTGAAATCCCAATGAAGGTAACTAAATTCCTCTCTTTTTTTGATGTAGTGGTTTATGAGGACCTTCTAGATGAACTATTTTGGTGATATGCCGATGCGACACACAAAATGTTGGTTTTACGTGGGTTCAAAACAAAGTCTATTATCTTCTTATTGTGATAGATTCTTTAGTTAGTATAGTTACTTCTCTGAGACCTCAAGCCTGCACAATATTATAATTAATTACTTTTTTTTCACAATTTATGCTTGTTTATTCAATACATTTTCTGCTTATTTCTATTTCGTTGTATATTTTCTATGAATTTCATCTTCTATCATGACTAATGATTTCTCACTTAAATCTTTCAGTGAAGATGAGCTCCAGGATTTCAGGGACCTCCTGACAAGTGCTATGCCATTACGGACTATAAACTTCAATACTAACGTCACGTTGGGCACATGCTACGGGAGATAGTTTTATAGATGCCCAAGAAGCATCACAGAGAAATGTGACTTCTTTTAGTGAGAAAACAGTCCAATAGATTTCACTATCAATAGTGATCGTAGTTGGATAATATCCCTGAAGAACAACATAGCACGTGACATAATCGTCTGCATTTTAAAATTAAAATTATCATATGTTTAATTATAATTTTAATTTTTTTCCATTTTTTTAGCAATTTTGATACTCACTATTAAATGATATGTGTATCTTATTTTTTGTACTATTAGGACATATGCAGAGATTAGAGCGACTGACATATTCAACCATCTCGTTAAGACATATGCAGAGATTAGAGCGACTGACATATTCAACTATCTCGGTAAGTTGGAGGAATAGAGAATGTCAGTTTTTCAAATCCAACAAGTAAATTAGTTCTCCAATATATGATGGATTTTGTATGTGAAAGATTATTTATATTAAGAATAATTTATTAAGTCTTATTCCAATGCATGTAGACCCAACCGGAAAAACATGAGAAATTTGTGGTCTACAAATTGAAAAGGAGCATGACTATTGATCAAATCTTGCCGGCGAGTAGGAAGAGGAAAAGTTAAAATTTGGCATTTTATCAGACAAACTTTTTTATCATCGTCAATGAAATCACATAGTGGATTTAGCTATTTTAACTTAAACCCACATCAAACCTACCCTAGACATGTGGCTTGACGTTTTGATTATTTTCGCTCCAAGTTGCAGGAAGCAAGTTAATCACAAGTAATAAAGCTTACAAACAAGTTGATGCTCAAAGGTGTTGTGAAGTGTCTTATGTTACTGACCTTGTTGTGATTTGCCTTGTTTCCTTTAGTTAACTTCCTTTTCAATTGTGAATTATATCAATGGAAATGCCTCCATTATCACCCTTCCATCAGATTAAACACACCTTCAACATCATCCTTCAAGAGCGGAAGAGAATGTCATCATCACCTCATCAAACGCCCAATTCTAATTTACTCGATTTATTTTCCTTACTTCCTTGATCAAGACTATTAGTATTAACTCAGCTAATTAAATGTGCTTTTAGTGTTGTCATGTTGCAAGAGCTAGCCACTTAACCATCTACAGACGCCACATTTGGCCCTCACCCACAAAGAAAAATAATCTCACAAAAAAACCGAGTTGCAACCAAAAAGAAGAGAGACGAGAAAATCACAATATGTTCTTGTTCTTGTATGAAAACATTATGAAAACATTGAGTTCATAAACAGTGATTGGAGGTGGTTTAATGAAGTAGACATTGAATATAAGCTTGAGTTTAGTTAAAATTAGACATGACAAGTTTAAGTTGGCTCATAAGTTTATTTATTTATTTATTATAAAAAAATATTAAAGAAGATAATAAAATCACTTATGTAAAGCAAAAATAGACAAATTGTTTAATAATTTTGTTTTTAAAAAAATTGCATTTTAAGTATATTTAGGGTCCGTTTAGGGCAGCTTATAAGTGCAGGTGGCATTTTCAAAACGACGCCGTACCGTTTGGTTCGCGTGTTTCGCCAGCTTATCCGTAATTGCGTTTGAGTTTTTATACTAAACGCTGGCCGCGGGTCGACCCCTGCCTGCGACCGGCCCGCGAGCTGCGGAGCTGCGTTTTAGGATAAACAACTTATCCTGAAACACACAAACTGCCCCAAACGGACTCTTAATATTCATACTTTTTCAAACAAACTAGTTCCGAGTCAACAAGTTCAAACTAACTCTGCTTCAACTTATTAACTCATTAGTGATATGATAACTCGATGAGAACTGAGTTTAATTATCTTATATGATAACTAATCCATCTATCAAGAATGCAATAAAATGATGATATAATAACTTGCAGCCTACTTAGTAACTTAGACTTTGTGCTTGATTGGAAGGTGGCTCAAGTAATTGTGACTGATCTGACAATTCTAGTTGCTACGAACAAAGTTGCCCGTTTCCCTTGACTGATTTTACTGCTCTAGTTATCTGCGCATTTTCATATGATGAGCTTTTGATACAGATTCTCTCCCATTTACAACAATGCTAGAAAAATTTCTTCACACAATGTCTTGAAATCCTTACAAAAAGCATGGGGAAATCAGACGGGAGAAACAAAAAAAGGCACATTTACATACAGCCATTCAATTCTTGTATATAATCACATATGGAACACCTAAACTTTAATTTTTACATTTGTACCACCAAAAGCTTTCATATCACATAAAACATACCATTATTTTGACTTTTAAATAATGAAATACACCTTTTCATGCATAGATAAAACGACGTAAAAATTGAAGTTTAGGTGTTGGATATGCAAACAACATAGGAATTGAGTGGTAGGCATGTAAATCTTTCAAACAGAAGAAATTGTTTGTAAACCTTTGAAATATAGGCTGCTCCAGGGTTAAAATCCTGGAACGAGCTTCTACTGCCTGCAATGGCAATGCAATGAAAAGAGCAAGAAAACTAACTGGAGCGAAGTTTAGATATGAACGCAATTTCCATTTTCGTTATATTTTCTATTTGGTAAGCTTATTTCATGTCTATTCTGGTATGAGCTTGTTGAGGCACTACTAGTGCTTGCAGTAATTTTTGGTGGCAGCAAATTGGTGTGCCCCCCAGCTTTAAGTAAGGCATCCAGTTGTCCGGAAGAGGCGGCTATTAGACCTACGAAATATATGAAGGTTTTTGACAAGATGGAACTCCACATGCTGGAAATTTGAAAACTAAAACAAGATATAATAATTAACTGAACTTTACTTCTAATATTTATAACACTCAAATCTTTCATATCACAAAATAAATACAATCATTTTAACTTTTATAAAGTGAAATACTCATTTTCATGGTAAGGTAAGATGGCAAGTATGTAAAAATTGAAGCATAGTTATTAGATATGTAAATACATAAAAATTGAGTGGTAAGTATGTAAGTCTTCCAAACAGTGTCAAAAAATGGGATATATTACAGCATTGTGTATACTGAAGCTTAATTGAACTCATATAGCATGGGCACGAATACAGAATGACATGATATGGATACGAAGGCATATTACACCTCATTTTTTCAAATGGCCCATAGTTTAATGGTTCCACGTAAGGCGTCGTACAATGTGATGGGGGCGCTGCCAATACACTTGTTTATATAATAATAATAATAATCGTAGAAAGCTGAGGTTTTCGGCTGATTGCTATCGTGGAGCTGCCGGTTGGCGAAGAAATCATAGAAAATTTGAAAATCTCTTGATTAGGTTTATTCCCTTCCTATTTTGTTTCTTTATTTTTTATTTCAAATTTTTTTTTCATTTCTTAATTGAGATAAGATATATTTGATAAATTTATAAATTAAGGGGGATTATTTTTCTTATATATGTGTACCCTGTACGTGAATAATAAAATTAAAGATTTATTACTCTCCAAAACCTATTTTCTACACGGTATTAGAGCCCTAATACAAACCCCATCTACCACCATCTGAAAACCTCCTATGTCGGCCCTGGAACTCCCTGCAAGTAGCCGAAACTCCTCCCTGCAGTCTAGTTTCTCCTGCAGGCCCCTTGATATTTCCCTGCAGTCCTCCCCTGCAGATGCTCTTGCTTCCTGTGTTCGAAGTCGGGATTACAAAGCAGCTGCAAGAGAGACGTTGCTGTGGGACCTTCTCTGTCCAGCTGAAACAATTTTTTCTTTCTAGTAGACATCATCATCTTTCGATCTTTCAATTGGAATTTTTGCCCGGGTCTACGCTGGCTCTCTCTCCAGTGCAAATCATATATGGAAAGACACTTCTCTGCATTCCTCAAACCTCCCTTCTGCAGGCCCGCCTACCTCTTGTCGGCACACTCTCTCTGCAGCAGCGACAACAAGCACCAATAGTTAACTCTCCAGTGCAGTCCACAAGAAACAACTTCAAATATTCATAAGGTTGATGACCAAGTATGGGATGAAGACGCTAAATTCTACCCTGGAGGTTAATTCTGAATTAGAGACCAGAGATTCTGTCTAGACCACTCCTAAACTCTCTAACTTTATCACAAATCATAAACTCAATGGCCATAATTACCTTCAATTATTCCAATCCATGTGTATATATATTTGTGGTAAATAGAGGGGAATATCTCACACGAAAAGGTACAATTCCTGAGATCATTGACCTTAACCACCGCATATGGAAATATCAATATCATATGGTTATGTCTTGGCTAGTCAATTCAATCGCAACTAAAGTGTAAAAAAATTTTTTGCTCTACAAAATTCTCACAACCTAGCACGGGACTTGAAATTACACAAGACGAGAACAGACGGTTAGACAGTGTGAACAAATTTTTCTATATTCATGCACAATTTAACATGTGAAATAACCTCTAAACCAAATAAATTAAAGCAGTATAGTTCACCTCGTTACTGGTTGTCCGCATCTTCTATAGACGTTTCCTCTTCTATCATTAACTTTTTAATCAATTAAATTAACCTGAAAAATTAGTTTAAAATAACTGAGAGCTAAATAAGTCAGTGAATATCTATACTCTTAAACTACAACAATACATGAGAAAAAAAGTAAAATGCATGCTAGTGGAACTTTTAATAAATCAATATAAACATTTACATGCTTAGTAAATGAATTTTACAAAATCAATATCATACCCATATTATTCTATATTTATGCAAACATATCACAAGAGCACCGTCTAAAAATTATATCACATAAAGTATTGAATATCAATATCTTTTTTCATATACGTGTATGAGTACCTTAGTATTCCTCCACTAGTACCATCAAGAGTTGACTCTACCATAGTCAGTCATGCACAAACAAAAATTCTATCAAAATCATTATTTACTAAAAATATATTTCATTCACATTTATGTATCTGACAATATATTTATAAATCATTATAATGCCGTGAACACATCATTCATACAATATGGACACAAATTCATTAGAATTCAAAATCATGAATTTGCCGCCATTTCAATATACCAATGATTGTACCAATAAATATATTTGGTAAAAAAAAAAGTAAAATATCACCATATTATAATATCATGAGTACTCACCTCAATCACTGATAATTCTAAACGTTCTCTTCACGTATCTACAATGAGAAACTTATAGACAAATGCATAAAAAATTATTATTAATTTAATATATATTAATCTTATTATAAAAAGACATTGCATTCATTTGATCATTTGATGTATTATATTATTTTAATTATTTTATTATTATTATCCGAACTTTTATCTTCATTTCAATATTAATTTAACAAAAACTTTTATCTTCATTTCAATATTAATTTAACAAATTTAAGCTTAATAAAATATTAACAATAAACTTGGTTCTTTTAATTTTACTTTCTAGTTACTTTATGTAATTTGTATGTTTTCTATTAGTCTTATAAATATACACACATTTATATTTATATTGCGTCACAATTTATTAGTTAAAAAATAGTTAAAACTTAAATAAAATCAAATCCTAACAGTTCTCACTATAAAACTTCTTTAACTTAAAACCTTATTATAAATAAATAATAATGACTAACATATTAAATTTATAAATTTATCATTTAAAATCCTTACCTTACCTTTGGTCTCCCCTAAACTCGCTCCGCCAAGTACAATTTCTTCTTCCCTTCGTTCTCCTTTGGCAAGAAGACTTCCTCTGCACGCGCAATTCAAATTGAACACACGAGCTCCCATACTCTAGTCAATTGACGCCTCTTCCATAAGGTTCCGCTCCCACCTTCCACGCTTCTTCGCACCTGACCGCTCGAAGCTTGACAGAACTCCATTGATTGCGGCTTGTTACAAATGTCAAATCCTTCTTCTCTACTTGACACGATGACCGCTAACCCTTGCTTGTGCTCGCCTTTCACACTCTCCAATCTCCTAGTAACTCTCCCCTCTATCACCTCGTTTCTAAAGGCAAACTAGTCGCGTGGGCTTCTTATCCCATCGCTTCCTCTCCCACTGTTCATTTTCCCTGACTCCTTGTTTCTCCTTTTACGTTCTTCTCTTCGTCCCTCTTAGGTAAGCGAAATAGAATCGTTACAATTTTCCTATTTCCAAAAACTTTGTCCTCGAAATTTATAAATAGACCTCAAGAAAATCAACATTAGCCATCCATGAAACTAGAGTCATTCATGAAAAGTAATCAGTTTTAAGGTAAAGACTAAATACAAGGCTTCTCAACTATGCTTCGGACAATAATACACAGTTACTGCAACAAGTATGGTAGGAAATACGTCAAATTCATTATATCTCATCACTTTCAGTAGCAATAGGTTATTTAGACTCACTCTGAGTAAATGAATAAACTTGAGGTCGAACCGACTGTCTTGGTTTATCTTGGATAGGAGCTGAAGCTGTAGACTATCTTTTTCTATCCACCTGCAGTCTTATAAGAAGAAGCACCGCCTGATTTTTGATCTTCAGTGCTCTTCTGGCTAAGAGATGGACAATATTGTGCTATGTGAGCAGACTGACGACACCAATAGCAAGTGTTAGAGCCCATCAAACATTAACCTTTATGTTGTCTTCCACATTTGGCACAAGCGACTACTATACCCTAAATCATACCTTTGTTAACTCCACTAGAACTGTTCTTAGACTTCTTCCCAATGGATCCTTCAGATTGATCCACATGTTCTTCTGCAGTCTTCTTCTTGTGCATCTCTTTACACTTCTGAGTAAACTGATAGTCGATCTCCACTATTCTATCTCGTTCCAGTAATATCGAATATTTATCGATTTAAAAAGGAACCAACGACTGTCTAATCAAATCTTTTAATCTCAAAAGAAAACTTTAGCACTTTTCTTTTGCAGTAGCAATCAACTGTGTTGCATACCTCGACAACACTGACTTCCGCTTCATATTGCATGATTGTCTTCTCTCCTTGTCTCAACTTGATGAAAATGTCTTGCATCTGTCTTTGGGCATATAGGGTACAAACTATTCTATGAATAGCTACACGAATTCCTCCTAACTTACTATCATATTAGATATATCCCCTAACTTGTGCTGACACTGCCCATACTACCATCTTTCGACTTCTTCATGCAGCACAAACGTCTTCAACGGTACTCTTCCTTCATCCAGACAAGTCATGTTATGTAGCATCTTCTCTATCCTCATTAGTCAGTTCTCTGTTTCAATCGGGTCTTCAATTACCTTGAACAAAGGTAGACGTAGATTTTGAAATATCTTCAAGTACTTATTCACACTGACTGTATCAACTTCCAATAAGCTGTGATCCGGACTCTTGAATCAACTGATTCATCGCCACCATTATTTGGGTGAGGACATTCATGTTCACGTTAATAGTAGATTTTATTTCTTAGTTTTCAATTAGTTTCTCTTCTATGATTTCAAGTGCATCACTATGCCTGAATGAATAATAATTATTTTTTAGTTAACTTCAATTTTTATAATTATTAAAATTTTCTTATAATTATTTTATTGGCACTTTCATTAAAATTTCATTAATTAATCCTAAACCTTCTACTCTGATGTCACTTTAGTCACAAATTGGTCTGGAGCTTGGAATTAACTAAGATGAGAATAGACGGTCGAATAGTGGGAACAAAATTTTCTATATTCATATGTACTTTAACAGACGAAAGAACCTCTAAACCAAATAAATTAAAATAGTATTTTAAGTTTAACTC